ATATATATATATATATATATAAAAGCTTTATCATCTAATATACCGGTTTTTGACGATTTTAATTATTCTGTTATTTGAATTACTTCCTTATGGTAGCACATGATTCTTCTTAGAATAAAGACTTGTTTTGTTAATTGTAGCTTCTACACATATTAATTTTTTCTAATATACTTTAACTTTACGCTCTCTATGAAGTGTTTTTATTTAATGTATACTCAGCAAATTTAGTGAATAACGTAAGCTTTCAAGCGGCTTTTGATACAGTCACAGTGGTTTTTTTCCGGTTAATATAAAAAACATAAATAAAAAAAAATGAGAATACGTCGCATTTTGAAGTTTTGCTAGTGAGTTTGCCCTTTAAAATAAATCGATTATTGAAAATAACAATAAAAATAAATCATGCTACCTTTTTCATTGAAATTTAGTGATTAATCGTTTACTTATTAAAAACTAAAAAAAAAGTTTAATTTAAGGGAAAAAAATATTGGTCAAACCTCATAACGTACAAAAAAAATGTAATAAATTTAATAGGCTTCATGCAAATTACAAACACCTGATCATTTTCTTTTTTTTTAAACGCATCGACATACACTCAAAGTAAGAAAAAATTAATACCCACTTCACTTCTCTTCCTTTTATACTTGGCTAAAAGTTCCTTAATTTTTGAAAAATTGTAAGCCGAACCTATTTTTCACTAAAATGCTTCTTCAAAGATATTTAAGAACGTTCTTGATTAAAAATACCCTTCGACTGAAAATGATTAATTAAATAGAGAGTTAAACGCAGCTTCCAAAAGCATATTATTGATCATATGAAAACGTCGTTAAAAATCTTATTTTTTTCATCCCTTCTCTTTCTACATCACAGAATAAAATAGTTCTTAAATGGGGAATTTTTACTTTATTATAAAGTCGGAAATTACCTGCCAAGAGAAGGTCAACCTTCCCAACTTATTATGACGCAAATTATATATGCTAATGCATAAGAAATTTTTAATACTTACTAAAAAAAAGAAATATCTTGTGTATTCCGTAGTTTAGCAATGCGCACGTTGTTCACACAACAGAAACAGGAAATGTGTTTACTCGATCTTTTATCTCTTATCTATGAAGATAAGCTACCATAAACATTCTTCACACTTAAATCTGACAAATGTCTGAATGCTGTTTACTTTTAGAGCACTTAGACGATATTTAAGATTTTTATTTAGGAATTTATAAAATGAATGAAAGGATTGTATGCCTTTTAAAGTGATTACAAAAATCTTAATTCTTTAATGAACTATAAACTCCACATAAATCGCGAATAGTTTAGTTTAATTATTTTAAACTATTAATTGCTTTTGAAGTCCGAAATGGGTCTTTTATCGCAGGTCAGTTAAGACGGAAAAAATATATGCCTAATTTTCTTTTCGGAAATCAAAAAATTTTTAAACTACCGCCTACTAAGATCCATATTATTATTGTTGGCAATTTTTTTCTTCAAAAATACATTTAGTCTATCATTAATTATACTTCAAAATCCACTAAACAGGTCGACACTTTTTTCTTCTCTTATTTTGCGAGAATGTGCTTTTTTTATTTTATTTTATCTTATTTTATTTTATTTTATTTTGTAACCGGTATTGAACTGCAGACCAAATATGCATTTCCGACTGTGAATGTTTAACTGCATTTATTTGTAGTTTTGAATCCAACCCAGAAGACAAGGGAACTACTGAATCAAGCATTAACACAAACTATCCCTTGTGACGGACTATCTGCTGAGTTACCGCGGGTCTAGGAGGATGTGCTAGTAATTTTTTTAGCTAGTAGTTCAAACAAGGAACAAAAAAAAAAAGATTGATTTCATTGTTTTTTTCACGGAAAATATATAGGCAGCTGCATATTTTTATGAATCCCAGCAATAGTTTCAATTTGGGCTATATATTTAGATTGCGATAATATAAAATATTCTTACTCTCTTATTTTTAGGTCTTATGATAGATGAAGACACTATAAAGTGTATTGAAAATTGATGAAAACTGATTAAAAGAAAACTCTACTCAGATCTGCTGTTTTTATTTTTACCATGCTCATAAGGTACAAATTAGTCTATAAAACAACCCTAGGTAGAATACTAGCTTGATTTCGTGTCTCATATATATAAAATTAATTATAGTTATTATATCTCGTCGCTATATAATCATATCAATACTCTTTGGACGTTTCTCTTCTTTTATTCGAGAACAATGCCTATTTTAAGTCGTTTTAATATTAGAAATTCGTCATTAAAATTAAAATTGAAATCAATTCACTTTTGATAACTTAACACTAAGTTATATTTTTGTCATCTCAATATTTTTTAAATATAGATAATTGAGGACCCAAGAAATTCTAAAAATATTATATCTAATATCTGAAAGTAAATAACACCATTATTTCTGGAGCATCTGAATCAGTACCGTAATATACCGGCTTCTTACAGAGAAAAAGAATATTACACAAAATAGAGTCCAAATGTTAATCATATATTTTTAGCTCTAAATAAAATCTACTAAAAATAACGAGATTCTTCATTCTTAGAATCGGAACATCTAGGCAGTTGGAAATTAAGCGCTTGAATCACTTTCCATCATTTTTAACGAGATGACGTCATAAATTGACGCAATTCACCATTATAAAGGGAAAAAAGAAACAACGTTTTCTTTTATAAAATCCAAAGCATTCGTTAAAGAAGGCAATAACTTCTTTATTCTTCAGTTCAAACCCTTAATGCTAGAAGTTCATGAGTTCAAACTTCCGAAAAATATCTAAATGTATTTACACTTGTTCATCAAGGGAGTCTTTGTCATATTCCGTGTTCCATTTTTTTTTATTACTCAATATTCAGAGAAGTAGTATATCCTGGAGCTGCTTTAAAAAAAGATTCCATTTCGGGAAGAGAGGGTGTAATGGAGCTAAAAGAAAGAAAGAAAGAAAAACACGTGTACGTGTATAGGAAAATAGGGAAATTTCACCATCCCCCTCTGGAAAGATATAGGACTATTCATAAAAAATTCAGTGAACAAGAACACTATATCCAGCTCATCTGAAGTGGATTAGTTTCCAGGTAGTAGCAGAGATTCTGTTGAAATGGATTTCATGAAATGTTTTTGAAAATCTGTGTTCAACTTTCAACACTGTATTTTCAATGCAATATTCATATTTTTAACGAGCGAATATTAAATGCCATTGTTAAGAAATGAAAAATTTTGAACTAGTTTTAATTGTTTATGCATATTTAACAACTGTTTATTTTGCAAAAATTTTTAAAGTCAGTACATTTTTATATCATGAAATACTGTTATCAAGTAGGATTGTTTTAAGAGAAACTGCAGTTAAGAAATTTCAGCACGTGTTGAGCTATTATATCAAATTTGCTGTATTTTCAATATGATACTAAAATTATCCCTATTATTGTTCAACTTAAACTTGATTGCATGATTCGATGGCTCAACTTGCTCGGAAACATGCATCAATTCAACATTCAATTTAGCTTGTACCTCCTTGTAATTCAATGTACTGACATTATTGATCAACGTGAAACTGATTTAATAAAGGAATCTGTTTTATTATGATGTAAATAGTAAGCATATTATCGTACAACAAATTTGATTGCACGATTCAATGGTTCAATTTGAACGGAAACTAGCCGTAATTCTACATTTAACTTAGTTTGCAACACATTGTGGTTGAAGTTACTGGTATTATTGATCAACGTTGAACCGATTTTATTGACAGAGTCTGTGAGGTTTGTTTTGAGTTTCTATTACACAGTAAAGTTGAATTTATTTTCGCTCAATATACTTTGAAAATAATATTTTTAGTAGTCTTGTGAGAGTAAACGTATATGGATAGCATTAACGCTTGTCCCCATACTATTTCATTTTGAAATTTAATTTTTTTTTAAAAATTCAGTAATAAATTCTTTAATTAGTTTGCTTTATCAGAAGAACATCCATTTGAAGCAATGTTCATCCCTCTCGATGCATAATTGTTTCATTTTTTTAATGAATTGGAATTAGCAAAGATAGGAAAGTTACGTAGGTAATGGTTTTAACATTAAAGTGGGTATGAGATGTTTCCTTCTTTTAACGATATCATAGAAAAATATTTATAAAATAATAACGTACGACTTAAGGACTATTTGAGATAGATAAACATGCGTTAAAAATATACAACAAAGTAAACCTTGTGTTGTAAGATATGAATACTCAAACAAATGTGGACAATAATTTATTCAAGACATGTATACGTTACAAATATTCAAGTAAATGCGGATAAGTATTTATTTAGATTTGAAGCAATAAGTTTGGTCGAAACGTGCATAGAACAAAATCTTTGAATAAGCTCAGATTTAACAAGCGACTTCAAGTCAAGTTTCAGCTTAAAAACGAATACTGAAATGACCTGCATTCTCTGGAGAGCACGTTAAAGGTGCACTGTAAAGAAAAAAAGACGGAATGCATAGAAAATGAAAGAAACAGAAGATATAAACTCTCCCATTCTTTTCATAGCGCGGCATCTTCAAATCAATGTCAGTCAGAATAGTGCAACAATACCTACTACAAGACCGTCTAACAATGCAACGACGCCTTTGCGAACTGTACAATCGATTTGAATGCTCCAACGCACAACCTTTTCATCTTCTTCAGGAGAAGATTCACAGTAAGAGGACTTGATTCACTCTCTTCCTCATCTTGTACTAATGTCAATGACAAGAGAAGAAAATCGTCGTGGGCTCGATACAGGGTCATGTTCAACAGGCATCAATTTCTGTCTTTCCTCCTTCAGCACTCCAGACTCCCCTTCGAGGAGAGAAAACGCATTGTTGAAGGAGTGTTTTTGAAGGTTTATTAAAGCAAAAGAGAACTTTAAAGTTTGAGTAAGGGAAATACGGTAGAGAAAGAGCGGTAAAGTGTGATGAAAAAGATGTGGTAAAGAGAGAGATGGGTGTTATTGTAATTGAAGTTGGATGGAAGTTTATGTTCATGGAAGTTTCTTAGTTAAAGATACCATAAGCGTTATGAATGATATTGATGAAAATGATACTCGGAGATAAGAGTTTACCTGTTACGAAGATAAAACTTATTGAAGCCATTGTATGTTAAATTGTTTTCATTAAAAGAATTTTAATTAAAGAATTGTACAAGCAAGAAATAGAAATATGTTATATCTTTGATGATTTTAGTATAATGTACACCACAGCCCAAGATATAAAGGATTCATGTTTGGATAAATGTTTGATATTTCCTTCCTGAAAATGTTATTTTTGTAAATAAAACTAAAAACAAATTTATTTATGTTGTTTGTTGAAAGAATTTTTATGTTTTTAGCTTTGAATGACATTACTGTAATTAAGTGTCATTAAATTCAAATGTAATTTTGAATTGTGTACATGTTTTTGAAAATATATATTATATTATTTGCAATTATAGCAGTTTCCCTTGCATCGCAGTTTAGTATTTAATCTTATTAGAATGAGTATCTTAGGAATTTTTGTTCTTGATTGAGTACCAAGAGCATTTTGCCATTTTGTATAAGAAAATTATGATTAACTAAGGTTAACTTACACGGAAAATTGTTTATTACGAAATCACTTAAATGTTGGAAAACTTGGATCAATGATGGTATCATAAAAATGATAAATTAATTTTTACATCAAATAAGGAAAAGTTAGAATAAGATAAAACCATAAGTGGGTAAACTAATAATTTGGTGGATATATGACTAGCACAACAATTAACGAGTTACAGAAAATTCAAAATGTACCTCCTAGCAAAACGTTTTTTTTTAATCAAAATTAATTTGAAAATATACATAATTTCATTTATAAAACATTGTCACTCTTTAATAAATATAAATGGGAATTATTGGAAAGCGACTAGTGCAGAAACAGTTAATGGTAATGTTTTTCAGTTTTAATGGGAACAAATCAAATACTTTGAGGAATGAAACCGAAATTTTGGAAGCAAAACCACAAAAACAAGAAAGATTTTTTTCCAATTTAAAAAAAACAGACATTGGTATTATTGTTCCTTTAAATGTTGCAAAATGATTTAGCCTCGCTGTGTGTACTTACGAATGAATGTACTTATTTTAAACATATTAAAGAAATTTCGAGTTTAATTTCTGGCATATTTAATTAAATTAAATGATTCAATATATAAACTCGCAAAAGCTCGCATTTTTTTTAAAAATATGCTTTCAAATATCTGTTTCTAAATTTATTAATTCTGCAAATAGGATTAAAATCTCAAAATTCATTAAATTAAGAAAAAAAAACTTATATTTTTAATTTTAAACTAATTTACACCCATCTAGATGTTTGATTTTTTTCTAAACAATATCTATGCTTTTATAGCCAAACGTAAAACTACGAACTTTTTATCTGATAATACATTTGTTAAGGAATTCAAGAGCTCAAAAAATATAAAATCTTTATTTGAAAAACGCATGAAATTTAAAAAAAAACACAATTTTTCCATACTAATACAGTTTAAAAGCAAGTTTTTATTTATATACTGAAAATTAATACTTATTACCAAAAAATGTTTCTAATAGAAAACTTCTACAACACTAGAAAATGAAATCATAGGAGATACTCAATTGGATATACTACACGAACAGTATCTTTAAACAAGTTTTCACTTTAACATTTTATTACCATTGAAAAGGTAAAAAAGATTGAAAACCAACGGAAATGGCGAGAGTAGAAATGAAAAAGTCGGTATTCATAATAGTAAAAAATTATTCTTTGAAAAACAATCTAAGGACAAAAGAAAAGGCGAATTTAGAAAAAAAGTGCAAAATAAAGCTACTTGTTTTATAAAGACTGGGGTAATGTGGGGAGTGAAGAAAAAATTAGGAATAAAAGAAAAGACTATTTATTTTCCGTTGTCATGCATTGTTACACTCTGTATTTAATCAGAGACGAAATAGAATCCAGGAAAGGAAAAAGAGGATTATAAAAGGGCACTATTGAGCTCTCACCACCTTCATTACAATAAAGAAAATTTTACTTTAAAAAATTATTCACTTTCGTTTTTTTTTGCTTAAAAGCGAAAACTTTCTTTTATTTTTTATGAATATTCAGTTTTTAACATTCCATGTCAATATTTCATTGAAAAACGGAATATTTACTGCAGGCAGCGTCAGTCGTTACGGTTTAATCATTCCTGATTTGTTTGAAACTTTAAATAATTATTTTGGTTATTGCTAGTTAATTACAAGTTACAGGTTAAAAGACAGTTTGCTGGTAAAAGTTCATAGTTTTCGCTCAAAATGATAATTACTGCACTGTGAATGTTTGCAGTAAATTTAATATTAAATTGAAAAATTTTATTTACAATCCACAATGCTCATGACAATTTTTTCATTCTATATGTGTTTGAAATTTTAAATGTTTAAATTTAAAATTATATTTATATTTTTTTTCTACTATCGTATTTTTTTTTAATACTTAATCTTAATACTTTTTCGTAATTCTTAATACTATTCTTAATATATTTTCTTAATAATAGTAATTTAAAAAAAATCACAATCTAAAGGTAAATTGAATTACTAGTTAACAGTAAACCAGTTTTCTCTCAAAATAATAGAATAAATTATACACTATGAGGATTCAGATTTAATTATTCTGTGTAAATTCTTTTTTCTTTTTTTTTCTGCCGTGACAGTCATAATCAGTTTTACCATGACAGTCAATTTAATAATTCTCTAATCGCTTGATACTTTAGAGACAGTTTCTTTTAAAAATTTAATAATTTTTTAAAGTAATACTTTTTCTTTTTCTAAAAAATTAATTTCAAAATTGAAAAAAAAAGCAAAATCTAAAGAATACTTATATTGCTAGTTAAATTTTAAATATTTTTCTCACTAAATGATAATTTAGATTTCTGATGTTGGTATCATTATTTTTTTTTCCACAAATTTAAACAGCAAGTAAAGTACTAAAATGCATTGGATTACTATAAGTATCAAAGCAAATTATTAAAATAAAATTTTTTAAGAAATGGATAAATTATGGGAACATGACAATAGCCTGAAAAAATTGGTATGAAAACTTGCGTTCCACATGAAATATAGCAAACAGCGCCACACATAGAAAAATTACTGTATAGTTTTGGACTTAATCTTAATCAGCTGAATAAATATAAAAA